CCCCGATGGATTCCTTGCTTCAGCCTTTTCCATGCTGCGTACACATCAGAGTCCTCTACGAGTGTTAATTCCTCTTTGGACGACTTCTTAAGCTGATGAAGAAGCTTCTGGTAAGAACGCTCATACCATCCGCTCTCAACCTTGATATCGGCTGATTTGAGACAGCACTCGATGTACTCTTCTGTCCCGATAGTGAGTACGAGAAGCAAGACCCAACTGTCGTTGTGCAGCGTGTGTGGTGCTTCAGACACTATCAGTGAAACGATTCCTTCCCGGTCTTGCTGAGGGGTGTCGAGCAGACTCTTAACGCTCATGTCCGTCAGTTGTTTCCACTGGACTTGGAACGTTTTCGTCGGGTTTATCGTAGGTCGTCGTTCGTGTGCTTTCGATGGACAGAAATCCCTGTGCCATGGCTCATGCTCGTTGCTTGGTTCTGAGATAGGAGAGAGTGGATCGATGTCTTGCACAAAGCGCAGCAGGATGCCGATGTATTCCATCGGGTAAGTGCTGGCAAAACCGACTGTGTCAAGTACTATGTACGGTGTTTGTAGGCCATGGCCTTGAGCCATATCATAGTGATTCTTCTCGTAAAAGCTGTACGCTTTCTCATGCTTGGCTGACAACCAGCTCGATCGTCTTGCTGCTCGCACCAAAATAGCCTCAAGTATCCGCTTTTCCAACCTCTTAATGTGCACAGCACTGGAGGGGTTCGATGTCGCTTCTTGAGGCGCACTAGATGCTGAGCTCTTGCTCTTTTTCGTCTGAGAGGATTGAGCTTTAGCAGCGCCTGGAGTCTTCTCTTCTTCGGTGTTCTGTTCTTTGCTAGCAAGAGATGTGACGTATCGAACTTCTCTTATGTCTGTCCAGTTCCGATCGACGACACCGAGGTCAGCGTGCAGCGGATTCACCTTTGCCGAATCGACCCGAATCAGGAACAAGTCGTAAGCATGCAGGCTGTTCTGAACATCCAGATTCTGGCCTTTCATGGATGCTACATTCTTTTGCTTCTTCCACGTATCCTTCGCGTCTTTGGCGACACGCTGAGGCCAGAACCACTTCTCCGTCCCTTCTAGCAAGTAAAGGTAATTTCTCTTTAGGCCCAATCGCCTGACAGCTATGATTTTCTCGTTCATGACTGGACCTGGGAGATCGTCGGGTGCCTCCTGGAGCCAAAGCTCGGCCATATCGTCCGGGATTTTGATCGTGTCTGAGGTTGGGTAAGCAGTGCTCTCGCTGGTTGCTATCGTGGATGTCTCAGCCTGAGGCTGCGGTTCGTCGTTCTGCACGGCAGCAGTTGTTGGCTTTGATTGATCTTTCGACATGCTGTGTTTGGGATGATGATTGCGCGATCAAAGCAGGTAACGAGACGTTGATAACAGCCATAGCACACCTGCCCTCTTATACCAACGCCTATTATACCAGCAATCATGTCACCATCACCAGTGTGGATTGTTGCAAGCTTGCTACATGTTACAAGTGGCCATATCAAACTTAAGAGATGAATTGACAGCTATGGAGTGTGGCAGCTGAAGCTATAGACATTTTCACAAGGCTGGCCCTGTCTACCTAGTTCTCGTCATCGGCCAACGCCACAGTCTTCTTAAGCTTCAACTTCTTTGCTGGCGGTTGCTCACCGATCGCAGCAGTGGATACCCTCTTGCCCGGTTTTCCAAGCCTAGATGTTCCATCCACTACCCCCTCTTCGTTATCAGTCACCGCTGACATGTCAGGTTTTCTTGAATCAGGGCCTGACTTCGCAAGCGCTTCTCTCTCCTCTGAGGCACCCTGATGCTGAGGGGCATGAGTTAGGTCTGGTAGATCTTGGTTAGCTTCAGTGCCATCTCCTTCAATCTCGTCATTCCCTGACTGGTCTTCAGCATCTTCTGCTTCAACATGCTCGTCGTGTTCGTTCGCCAGCTTACCGTGTCTCCTACCCTTCAATGGCCGGGCGCTCTTCTCGTTGGCTGGAGCGTCGTCTTCATCTCCAGAGGTGTCTGTACTGTCGTCGTGTTCAGAATCGCTACGTTGTTCGCGGTCGGATTCAGGCCTCGGAGCAGCGTCATCATCTGGCTTTTTTGCGTTACTCTCGCTGGCGAACTGCTCGTCCTGCAGGGATTGCTGAAGCAACCAGAAGGTGTGTACTGCTTCGGAATAGCTCAGCTTCGCATGTTCCTGATACTCTTCCATGCAGGTATGGATAGTATTTCTAGACCGAGCGTCGTGCGCGATCAGCCCCACCTCCTCTTCCGCTTGCTCCGCTTCGTCGTCTGCGAGGAGGGCCAGGGCGAGCAGGTAGGGCCATGAGCTTGGCCTGGCGACATGGGGACTGTCGGTGATGATACGACGACCGAGTTCTTTTCGTTCCGCTATGGTTGGCGGCACAATCTTGACTAACAAGACTGGTCCAGTAGTTCGCTTTCTCTGCCAGACATGGAAGTCTTCGATGAAGACAGTCCAGATGTTCGTCAACTTGATCTTGGATGTTTGTCCCGTTGTTGTTGCTGTTTCGTTGTCATCATTGGACGTTCCGACCTTGTTCGATGCAGAAGTCCATATGACATTTACATCACTCAAGTTTTGATAGGTCTCTTCGTTGAGCTGGTTCTCATCGACCTGGTTTTCATCGGTCTCGCTGTCGACGGGGTTGCTGTCATCGGGGTTGCTGTCATCGATGTAAGGCTTCCAGATTATCTCGACGAGCTCTTGAGCACTTTTGGAGATGGATGCCGTAGCTTTCGCTTCGTCCTCGTCCGTCGCATACTGATAGCTACCTTCCTCTGGTTCCACCAGCCACGAGCTGGGCTGAAGGACCTCATTCAATATGTATATGAGCATCTGATGCACACGGTCGTAGTCCTCGTTGCTGAATCGTGTGATGAACTTCTCCGGCCCGTCTGTCAGCACGACATTTTTGAGAACCCTTACTTGATTCCAGCCAGGTACGTTCACATCTATCCAATCATTCTCTTCGACTTTCTCGAATCTCTCGACAGTGTTCTTGTACAGCTTCGTCGCATGGGTCTTTCTCATCCACTCAAGCTCGCAGTCGTTCCATATCAATACCTCCACGTTAGCATTCTCCCATCTCTTCCTTCGCGCGATGATAATGGTCTTGTCGGGCCTCTTCGGGTCCTTCTCCTCTTTGTCGGCCAGCGCCGCCCACGCTATCTCGAATTTAGGGGGAACTTCGAGAGCCTGCGGGTGTTGTTGCTCTTCTCCGTCAGTAGCGATGGAAGTTGCGGGTTTAGCAGCTTTGGTCTTTCTCCTTCTCTTACTCGGATCCACCTTACCATCGTCATTCCAATCCTCATGTTCGTCATCATCTTCACTCAGATTTGGAATCCCCGCTCTCCTCTTTCGTTGCTTTTTACGAGCCTCTGCTGTCGGTTCGCCTGCGATGCTTCCTGGCATTTCCACCGCTTCGACCATTTCAGTGTCGCCATCGTCGTTGCTTAACGGGTTCCTACCATATACGAGTGTTTTTAAGCTAGACTTTGGTAGTACTTTTGTGTTGGCAGGTATCTTCGATCCCGTGGACATCTCGTCAGGTCTATCTTCGCTGCCGTCCATGTTGTTGCTCATATGTCGGATTAAGGGATTGACCGTTGACAAAGACTGTGTATCTGGGCGAGAATATTGAAGTGGCAAGTGAAGAAACCGAATGACTGAAGCTGGTCTTATGCTTTGATCAGTTTGCTACATCTGCCAGACTCTTTGTGCGTAGCCAAACTTCGTTGTCACGTCATGAGCAATCTAGCAGATAGACAGAAAGCCCCAGATGTTTCCACTGTGCTTAGGGTGCTGGAGTTGCGAACATATGTCATAAGATCACGTTTTTGGCTGGCGCTGTTCCGGTAGTTCAGATGCAGCAGTAACGTCCATAGGAACGCTCGAGCTTTTGTCTTGAAACACGAATTTGCTTCTGCATCTTATTCAGGCTCAACGTCTCCAATCAACATGTGCATTAATCTACACCGATACCTATCAGACCTCCAGTTCTACATCCTCGTCGTCCTCAGCCTGTTCATCCTCGCCATCCTGTCCATCACTGGCTTCGCCATCACTCCCATCCGCCGACGCTGCCACGACAGCATTCCCATCCTCATCAACGTCATTGTCCACATACCAACGAACCTCATCACGAGTCGCCATGTACGTGCGCTCAACGCAGTCAATCGGCCGCTTCTCCCAATCACCGCAGTATATCCATAAGAACTCATCCCGCGTATGCTCGTGCCAGTGATCTCCCACTTCAATACCGACTGTCTCCAACGACGCTGCGATCTCATCGCCCATGAGGAATAGTCGCGCAAACATGAGTAGCTTCGGGTCTTTCAGCAGGTATGGCACGTGCTTTGGGAACAGCGCGACGGTCTTGCTTAGCTGAAGGGCGATGGTGTGAGCGGTATTGAACGTCCAAGTAGGATTTCTCAGCTCACGGAGACTGGTGTCGAAGAGCGGGGTGAGGAAGTGGACGACGGGGTATGAGCGGCGCTTTCCTGGGTCACTCGAATTGTTGAGGACTTTGCAAAGGTGGTTGTGTTCTGCAAAATATGTTAGGAACCTTTGTTTGCTAGTGAAGGGCGGAGAGCTTTGCAAGATACCTTAGATCATCACAGTCTCAAGACGTCGACGACAGAGCACCCTGGAGGTAGTCAGTGATGATTCGACTGACCGGGGAAACGTGCGAGGGTACTGTATTGCTCCAGGAGGTTGCGTGCCGATTGAGTCTGTGAGATGATGTAGGAGAGTGGCAGCTACAGAGGTACCCAAAATAATCAAAACAACATCTGCAGCACCATACGAAGCACATCTACAATGTCATCATCACAGCATATTGCAAGATCTCAAATAATCGATGGAGAAGAGTTCTATTCGTGCAAATTTATAAGGCGCACAGCGGCGCCATCCCCCCAAACCGCACCGCACCACCTCTGCCACCGCCAGGAACTCAAGATGTTTTGCCCGAAGGCCCCAATTCCTCTCCACCCCGCCCAGATCTACTGTCCGAAGACCGGCCTGTCAAGATATGTCAGCTTAGCTCGTCAATGGGTGATCAATTAAGACTTACTTCCACTCATCCAGCTCCCGGGCGAGCTTCCAGGCCGAAACCCCCACCCTCATCCTCTCCCTCTTCTCCGCCGCAACCGCTCTCTCCCACCGGAGCTTCTCCTTGATCATGCCCTTGGCCTCGGCCAAGGCGGCCACCTTGTCGGGGTTGGAGATGGCGATACGCCATACGGCGTTCCAAGATGGCCCCATGTGGGCTGCGGACGTTGGCGGCGAGGGCGCGGGTGCATAGTCGACCTCGGGGTCGAAGGTGAAGGGCATGTTGGCAAGTGTTTGATGTGATGTAGGTATCAGGGTGTGGTATGGTGAGTACGTTGGAAAGTTTTGGAGGGTGCCAGCTAGGATACACAGACGCGCAAGACTAAAGGTTTAATTACAATTCCTCGCTCTTCACCTACAAACGGGCAGCTCGACCAATCAGTTCCAGCCCACCCAACTCTTACTCATTACACGCCACACCCTCACTTCACCTGATCTCAAATCTCCCATCTTAAAGCTCTCTGGCTTGACCTTCTTGTGCTCACGTCCCTGCTCCCAAGCCCTTACCTTCTTCTTACTCCCATCCCACTCGACAACAACACCGACGTGATCCGGCTTCCCAACATCCATCGCGTACTTAGCATGCATTGGCCCAGTCTTACCCTGGAACTTTGCATTGCGGAAGCTGATGATGTCACCAGGGCGAATCTCATCATATACTTGGGTTGACGCGTTCGCTAGGTTGGCGTACACAAGCGCGCCGTAGGAGCGAGTTGAAATTGGGGGCAGTGCGTCATTGAAGGGCTTAAACAGCTCCTCAATCAGTCCCTGTGGCGTGCCATTGCCTACGACAGTGTTCTGCTTCGACTCAATAGTCTTGGCTATCGTGCGACCAAACTGCTCGTACGCGTTCTCCAGCTGATCAGGACGCTGGCTTGGAGGCGGCGGCTCATTGCGCTGTTCAAGATCCACGTCGGAGACGTTGGTGGACTCGAAGCGGGCGGAAATGATCGTTTGTGAGTAGTCAAGGTAAAGAACTTTGATGAGTTTCTCCACAGTGTTGCCTGATTGCGACTCCTTCATGTCTACCAGGACGTCTTTGCGAGCTTGGAGTGATGGGGGAAGTAGCTTGGGCTGGGTCCACCAATGCGACGACATCCCCAAATCGATATCGTTTGCAATGAAACCTTGATTCGTTGCCGGGCGAGGCTGATCCATGGAAGATCGAGTCGTCAGCATTTGGGCTGCATCAAGCGACTTCCGAGTGTTCAGCATCCGAGGCGGTGCCTCCGTTGCGACTGGCGAGAACATAGAAACTGGGCGTTCCTGCGGTGGCGGCGGGACCATTCTTTCTTGAGCTGGAGGAGGCGGAGCTTGTAGAGGTGGAAGAGGCGGAGGTGCATGCTGGTGTGGAGGAGCCTGAGGTGGTGGAGGCGGTGGCCTATCGTGAGACTTCCGAGCCGGCGGGGAAGAGTACAAATCATCCTCTTCATCTGATTCACCCGCTTGACGATGTGGTACAGGAGGCATCGATGGTGGCATGGGTGGTGGTGGGCGATTCTGCGGGGGAGGAGGCTGGCTTTGTGGGGGCGGTGGCACTGCTCGAGGAGCTGGAGGCGCCGCGGCTTGCGGAAGGGGTGGGCCAGTGTACTTGAAAGGGTCATATTCTTCATCGTCATCGTCCATAGGGGCGCTGCGAGTCGGTGGTGGTACCGGTGGGAGAGGCGGTGCACCACGGGGGGCATCTGTTGATGGCCGACTGGGCCCCTGTTGAGGTGGTGGAGGCGGAACTGCACGAGGTGCAGTAGGAGGCAGAGGCGGCATTCCCTGAGGAATAGTGGGCGAGCGTGCTGAAGTTGGCTCGTCCGTCAAGGTATTGTCTTCTACGCTGGAATCGCGAGCATGTGACTTCAAGGCGTCCTTGTGAGTTGCCTCGGGCGCCATGTCGGTGTCATAGTCACCTTCGTAGTCAGTCTCGCCCTCGTTACGGTCCAGTTTGCGAATCGGAAGATCTTCATGGCGCGATGGAGGTGCCTGCGTTGGTGGAGGTGGCGGAGGCGGACGGCTCATTGTAGGCGATGTAGGACCCGCTGACGGAATGGGAGGCACGCGTCTTTCTGCCAGATCCTGAGCTGGCTCGCCAGAAGCGAAATACGAAGCCCGCCTATTGGATGGCTGGGAAGGGGCAGACGGGGTAGGGGCAGTGTCGGTCATCTCATCACCAGACTCAGATCCGGGCCCAGGAGAGAGAACCTGCGGAGGAGGTGGCGGTACCGGTCGAGCTAGGTACTGTCAGTATTTTTCATCTACTGATAGCCGATGTGACTTACAGGCCGATGGTACAGGAGGGGGAGCAGGACGTCCTAGAGGATATTAGAACCATGCGAACAGACGTAAGAATCATTGATAGAGCCAAGTGCACACACATACTAGACACGCATACAGTCATCACATATTCCGACAGACCGTCATAGGTGACATAGGTCTTTGACAAGGTCTCGGAAGATGGCGACTGCAGGCGGCCTTGGGCATGGCGTACAAAAGCGCGGATTGGTTTGCGAGGAATGATAAACTTACGGTCTGTTGGAACAGGCGGAGGACCATCGCCAGTAGTTGGCCGGGCTGGCTGAGACGCGACCTCCTCTACGTCTGGCACTTCACTCGCTGAGTGATTGCCAGTGATGGGGTGCGGAGTTTCATCCTCCTTCTCGACGGAAAGCGTGCGGTCTTCAGGTTCTGGGCTTCGGACGGGCATCATACCAGGCATACCAAACATAGGAACTCGTTGCTGAGGCATGCTGTACTCCTCAGTCTCTTCGGGCCTTTTCTCGGTGGTCGATTTCTTCTTCTTCGGTGGAAGACCACCGCCCATGGGCATACCACCTCCGAACATACCAGGCATACCGGGCATGCCGGGAATGCCACCGCCCAATCTCCTCATGCGCTCGCGTAACTCCTCCTTCCGTCTCAGCTCGGCAGTCTCCTCGTCTTCCTCTTCCTCCTCCTCTTCTTCGGGCACGTCTTGCTCATCACCAACGTTGGGCTCTTCCGTTGGGGCAGTGGGTGCTCTGGGAGGTGGCGGCGGCGGGTGCCTGCTCTTTGGTCGGTCCTGGTCCTCTTCGACACTTGTGGATTCTCCTCCAGCATCTTCAGTATCTCCAGCTGCTGATTGGTCAGCGTCGTTCTCGCTGAGGAGATCGCGGTCACGGTTGAGCGCGTCTGGAGAGCGGATATCGTGCGATGTTCGCGGAGGGCGATTCTGGTCCATGGACGCACGACCCTTGGAAGCTCCACTTGTCACGCGCTCGAGGCCAGTGTCCTCGCTGTCTTCAGCGGGTGCGTCTTGGGACTCAGTCCTCTTGGCCACAGGCGGTCTCTTTGGCTTTTCCTTGTGCATAGCCGCGGCCCTTTCTGCCTGCTCCTGCTGCTGTTTCTGCAGCAGAGCGATGCGTTCCTTCAGGCTAATCTTGGGCTGTGGCTCTTCTTCGCCCTCGTTCGCATTTGCCTTGTCATGCGCGGCCAATCCCGCGCGCTCCGCATCGTTCTGGGTCTGCGCCTGACGCTCCGCAATTTCAGGATCCTCTTCGCGACGGTAGGTCTTGACGGGTGGAGCCTCTCGAGTGGGAGGAACGTAGGCATTTCGGCTCGGCGGGGGAGCCACAAAGGGCTTCTTGATGAAACTAGGAGCGCCGCCAGAGGGCTTGAAGGGTTTGGGCGGAGGATCAGTGGGCTTGTTGAAAGCAGCAATGCGGTCCCGGAAGGCATTGTTCTTGGGTGCGACAGGTGGAGGAGCCTTCTTCGCTGGAGGAGCGGGCTTGGACGACTCCGACTGCGGCGGCAGGGCTTCCGGAGCCTTTGCGCTCGACGCAGAGCGAGGCGACATGGGTGACATGGGCAGCGGTGTTGTTTTGGCAGCGCTGGGCACCTCAATGGGAGGGGCCTGGGGCTTTGGCGGCTCTGGTTCTTGAGGCAGCACTGGCTCTGGCTCCTGCTGCGGTATTTGGGGCGTGGGAGGGGCTTCCTGCGCAGGCGGCTGCTCTAAAGGCTTGTGCCGCGAGGCTCGGTTGGGTCGTGGTGGCGGCTCTGGCTCGTAGCGCTCGACGAAGTTCCTGGGGAAGAGGCCATCGTGCTTGGTGCCGCTGTCGTCGGTGTATTCGCCCACGTACCAGTCGTCGCCCTCCTCCTCGGTGACGGAGATGATCTGGCCGACCTTGAAGCCCAAGTCGTCTTCGTGGTTAGACACATAGTCGAAGACGCCCCTGACTTTGTACATGGCGGCGGGGTGTGTCGATGGCTGCAGAGGTGGTCCGGCGGCGGAAGACGCAATGGGGGTGACAGCTGCGGTCCCTGCCTGACAGCGCTACAGCAAGAATGTGTGGGAGCTCTCTAGGTGCACGGCGGGTCTCGGACGTGTAGCTGCGATGACGCCCATGTCAGCCTGGGCAGCAATGCGGGACGCGCGGGTCAACGGGGCAGCCTACCATTCAATGCTTGCACCCATCCAGCTCTGGGCGAGGGGCAGTGGGAGATATGAGGGCTGCTGCAGGTGCCTCGTGCGAACAAGTGTGGTGACGAAGCTCAAACAGCCCCGCCCAAGTCCCCGACGCTCCGCCAAGCACGCCCAACGAGGTTCCACTTCACACTCTAGCCACGACGATCCCAACACCAACACAGGCCCGCCATGCCGCCCAAGTCCATCCTGAAGAACGCGACCGTCTCTACCAACGCGCCCCCGGGCAGGAAACCCGTGAATGCGCGCCACCTCGCAGTTGCCCGCCACCATGCGACGGTACTTGAAGACCGCAAGCGCGTCGAGGCAGAGGTGCTGGAGGCCGTCATGACCCTCATGGACTTTCCCACCTCGCCAGACGCCGATGCTAAGCGACCTTCGCCCTCCGACGCTCACTTCTTCCAGAAAGCAGTAATTCCCTTTCAGCCCGCCGACTACGACGCCCTCATCGAGGAGCGCAACATTGCCGACAAGTGCGGATACGCTCTGTGCCCGCGCCCCAAGAAGAAGGCGCGATCCACAGCGAGGAAGCAGTTTGTTGACACTGATCACGGTGTTGAAATAGTAGACAGGAAGGTGCTCGAGGTGTGGTGCTCAGACGACTGCGCAAGACGCGCACTCTACGTCAAGGTGCAGCTGAACGAGGAGCCGGCGTGGATGCGACACGGCGGGTACGGCGACAAGATCGAGCTCATGGTCGACAATGCCGACGAACATGAAAAGGCCCTACCGCTACGTCTCAAACAGGAGAGTGCGACCACTGCTGACGCAGATGACGAAGCAGACCTAGACGCAGCCTGGGCCGCCCGCGCAGACGCCATGACTGATCTCGCGCTCGAACGAGGCGAGAAGCCGGGCCACCTTACCAAGGCAAACAACGACCTCGTCCAGGACCAGATTCTCGAGCGCTCTTCCAGCAACGCGCCGCCTCAGCCACCGTCGCTTCCTGCGCAAACGTCTGACCACACCATGGCTATTGAAGGGCACGTTCCACGTATAAACAGGAAAGACAAGGACGACGACGAAGACGATGATCAGGACTGGGACAAACACTTGCCTGGATGAGTGGGGATGACACCAGTCATTGCATTACGACATTCATACACCGGCATGCATACGTAGAAGATTGCAATGATATGTATAGACCACCCGGCGCGCGGTATGCGTTTCAAAGACCATACGGATAAAACCTTTGGTTGAAGAGGTGAGTCCTGACCTGAAAGATGGCGGACAGCACATTGCATACGCCAGAAGAGTGTGCATGTTGGAAATGCTCGCGACATGTGCGCTGAGGCGGAGGACGAATCACGTATGCATGGAGGGAATGAGATCTTGAATAGCTCCTGTAGATATTTATCATCGTAATAGTACATCAACATGAAAGTGCATTTAACACCGTCTCGTGCATCTTGACGTGGTGATGTGACCCAGCCTGCAACCCATCAGAAGCCGCGGAGGTCTCGCACGGGCCACTCCGCCGCAAACTCCACTCGACATTTCGATATGCACATCGGAATCATCACTTCAGCCGCCATTGATCGCCCACACGCGGCTGTCGCATCGCCAACATGGCTCTAAGTCGCCAGTCCCTCTCACCTACTTCCAACCTCCTCCGGAATTCTCGCCTCTTCTCGCTGCCCAACCCACTTGCGCGACCGCCCGTGAGCGATACTTACGGCGCGGGCATCTCCAAGTCCTCCGACACCGCGACCCTGCCATACCCGACCCACCAAGCGATTGCAACGACAAAGTCCTCATTAGCACGTGGCGATTGGGGTCTGAAGCGGCCGATTCCGTCAAGGAGTCACCTGGTACAAGTGAGCGACCCAGTACTGAGGGTTACTCAGCTGGATACTATCGAGCATGTTACGGACTTCGAATCGGCGGCAGATCATGTGCGGACAAGACAAAAGTGGGAAGAAATGGGTGTGCCAATGATCAAGGGCCTGTCGTTGATGAGAAATCGCGGCGTGAGCGACGACTTACTGCCGGGAGCTTTTGAGGTTCGGGATGATACTACGAGTTACGACACGGATCTCGGACTGGATGAGGCTGGACTTTACCTAAAGGCTCTCAAGAAGAGCATGCCTTCGGAGCGAGTCAAGGCTCAATGGGACGACTTCAACGCCACCTGGAGAAAGAGGTGGGAAGAAAAGCTCGCGAGTTTCAGGGCTCGTGGATGGGGCCTTCACCTTTCCGACTTTAAATCCTTTCAGAAAGAAGCGAGCAGGAAGTCATCAAACGATAAGCCTTGGCTAGAAGAATTTGTAGCCCTTCAGAAAGAGCAGAGGAATGCAAGGAACGCTCTGAAGCAGCGACTAGAAGCCCCGCAGACTCCAGGATCATTGCAGTTTACACCCTTTACCCCGCCACCCGTGGATCCCGTCGTTCATAATACCAGGCGATGGAAGCACGAGGGACCTTGGCTTCCTGGTATGGGCGCCGAGGACTTCATCTCTTTTCTTACCAAAAAGCTTGCAGGCCGCAAGAAGGAGTTCAATGACTACCTAGTCGAGTATGTCAAGAACAAGATATACGACACTCGTCGTCTTGCCGCTTCCAGATCCGGCGAATTAGCACCAATAGACGCCCAAGAAGCTGAAGTCTGGCAAGAGCAACGAGAAAAGGCCTGGCGTCACATCACAAAACCTGAGATTGATGCTGGTATCAAGGCGCTGAGGCAAGAGACTGCAAAGGATCCACTAAGCAGCAAGCTCGTCAGCAAGTTGATACTTCCCTTCTTGAAGCTCCCAGCCATCAGATTCAAGCACACAGCATACAATCCGGACGCTGCCAAGAACGAAGTCGATCAGTACCAATTCGACCAAGAAACCGCGCCCCTCTCCACCCACCCTTCAGCCGGACTCGGCTATCTTCGTCACAAGTCATACCTCGCCAATCACCCCATCCTCGGTCCCCAAGAGAACCCTGCCCCGATACCTGCTCGTGTCATGCAAGCCAGACGCACAGGCACAAAGAACGAGCTCTACGCCCGTCTGGGAGTAGGCGGCTTCGTAGCCAACGATGACCACAGCGGCACAACTTCATACACTGTTCCCAGGAACTATGCGGCTGCCAAGGACGTCGAGACAATTGATGTGGACACGCCCGGTGGCAGGAAGATTATGGTGCAACCCCAGTTTGGTAGCGTCACCAACGACGGGCGCATCCAGATCAAACTGAAGCGATCCGTTGGCCAGGAGGTTGCTGTTGGCAGAGGCGAATTCGACGAGAAGCCGCCAGCAAGACCGTATGCGGAAAAGGTTTCTTTCAGGAATTTGGTCGGTGGAGCTAAGAAGAGTGGGATCAAGGAGTTAGATGAGCAGAGTGAGCAGGGCCAGCAGTTCAGTGAGTTCCTGGAGAGCACGAAGCCTCAGGGACATGCGCAGCCGCCGAAGGGTTTCCCTGGGATGGCTGAGGCGTTGCGAGGGGACTAGATGGTACAACACATTTGTATTATACTGCACACATTGTATTGTATGAAATGAACATGAGATATCTACATACCTCTCATCGTTGGCTTTTCAGTCACAAGTCTCGCCAGCTATACTCAGAAAAACGTGTCTATTTGAGCCTTACTAGGCATCGAGAAGCCAAGTCTTGTACGGGACCCAACCCGACTCCAGTCTCACGCAACACGACATGATCCGGTGCAACTAGAGCGAAGAAGCTTCCGGATACCAACGCGACGGGGCAGGCAATAGCCCAGTGTGAGTACCTCCATTGAAAGACCATGGGTCCACGCTAGTGGCAAGAATAGTTGCCTACATTCTGAGACATCGGGCAGGCTCCGACTTCGGCTTGGCGGAACATGATATCGAAGGAGGTCGGAGGTACCGAGGATGTAGAGTTGTACTGCCGTGCCGCTTGTGGTAGCTCCTAGAGTGGGCATGATAGCGAGAAAATCCTAAGTCTTTGTTTCAATGTGAGACAGGTGGTAGGCTGGGGCCTATTCAAGTTGCTCAGATGTAGACCTTACGCTGGACGTGGCATGTGATCGTGTCCATGCCGTTCGCAAGCATTGCACTTGATTGTGATCTTACCTTCCATGATTTCGACTTTTACTTCGGTGAAATCTCGCCATGCTTGGCAAATCACTGCAACACACCGTTCAAAAAAAGCTTTCTCCAAGCTCGGTTCCAGCGATGGAACCTGATCTATTCATACCTAACTTTTGGCCTAAGCCAGTCATTCAGCTGCTATCGTACCCATGTAACAAAGCTTGTTGCTCCTGTGCAAGGCTGTGGTTGGTTCTCAGTGGCGATGGGGCCGAAACCTGGTAGTGGCATACGTTCTGCTTACAGGCAGACCAGGCAACCCGGGACGGCGCGTAGATGGTTCCTGTGAGACGTGAGAAGAAACGTGGCTTAGTTTCGATGGAAGTGTCGGATAGACTTGCTTATGAGACATCAGCAATATGGAGTCGATACTGCAATGGGCTGTTTGTCCGAATTTGACTACCTTAATAAGTATCCGAACAGTAAAGAGACAGTGAGACGCTTCCGCCCCGTACCCTTCGCTTCCCACATGTTGGTAAGTGTAGCGCTGCCAAGCCATACGTTTCAGCAGCAGTGCGATCATTTTCGAGTGCGAGGTCCCTTCTCAGTAGGGTGGAGTCTTCAGCACTGGAGCGATGGCATTGGCTGTACCACTCAAGTCTTACACATACGTACACAGTGTACGAGCAGGCGGTGAGCTGTGATAGCTCCAAGTTCGCAGCGGTTCTCCAGCCACCGATAGCGTCAACAAAAATCGCAGAAAGT